CGAGGCGGGAGCTGGCGCGGCGAGGTGGTGGTGGCGCGGGGAGGCGGGAGAGAGCGAGAGGGGGGGGGGAGTGAGAGCGAGCGAACGGCGACTTCGGCCATGGCGTCCAGGGAATGAGGGAGAGAGCAGGGGGAGAATGAGGTGTCGCAATGCATGAGAGCAGGCAGGAGGCGTGGCGCGCTCGGGGCCGGTTGGGGAGGACGGCTGGGAAAGTTCTCGATCACATGCCAAATACTTTGCCAGGCCAACCCCAAAAGGCAAAAAAAATGCCGGCTGGAGGGCACAATGGCTGGAGATGCTCTTAGTTATGCAAAGCCCGGATATGGGCTCATCGTGTTTTGTATCTTTTTGATGTTTCATTTTGAGTCAATAAAATCCACCGTTTATCGAAATTTTTTTGGTCAGATAGGTGTTAAAATTATTTGTACTCCAGTTGAACATTTCTGCTCTATGTTTGAACATTTGGTAACTGGGGCTGAACATTTGGTAGCTATAGTAAGTACAATGGAACGAGGATTCTAACGTGCTATATGCACTCTACTTCTGCACAACGTGATGTAAGGCTCCCATTTCTTGCATACTACTATAGATTTTTTTTACAGTAAATTGATTAGATCTCTGATGGTTAATGTTGACTGGCTGCCAGTTGCAAAGAGATCACAAAGAACGCCTGTATTGTGGGACTTGCAGGCCAATTGTATATCTCAGAATTCGTGCTAGGTACTTAACTATGTTGATCCTTTTCTCTTTCCGCTTATGACATGATAGTTGGAATTATTCTTATCTCTTTCTCATGGCTTTTTGTTGGGTTTCATCTGTAGCCAACCCCAACTTGCTCGGAACAAAAGGACCGAAGACATTCGTATTGCTAGCACCATTAGTTTTTACGGAGTAAATGGCGCTGGCGGTCTTAAAACTTGCTTTACGGGTGCACATAAGTCACACAACTTGCAAACCGGAAAAACCCGTTACAGAACTTGTGTTGCGGGTGCATTTAAGTCACAAAGACGAGCTGAACCGATCGGACGCCCGATTTTTTCTGTTTTGCGGTTAAGCGCCTCTAGGCTGCATCGTTTTCTCGCACAAAGACCCCTAGATCCTTAGAGTCCAGGACGCCTCCAGCTGTACCGTCACTCTCTCTCGCGACGAGAACGCAAGGAAGATGAAGAACAATGGAGCACACAAGGATATTCCGGCGACGAACGCTGTGGCGACGAACGCCTGTATCTTAGCCTTATTCTCTCTCTGGACTCAACCCAAAACGCCTGATTACAATGCCCTTTATACACCAGGGTCACCACACGGAGCACTCCTCCACTACCCGGTCTTCAAGCGCCGTTTCGTTCGACGCGGATCACGCTGCGCCCGAGCATGCCCTCGTCCGCAGGACGTGCTCCTCAATGCACGGCCCACGCTGGCGACTCGCCCACGTCCACTTGCAGCTCGGCGACTTGCGCATCCGACCCGAGCGCCCACGCCTCTGCATGCTCATGCTGGACTCTGGCTCCGGCCGCGCAACAACACACTCGAAACGCACGCACACTGCCCACGCACTAGTCAGACTATGCCCATACACTAGTCGGGCTATGCCCATACAATGACCAGACGCACACACGCACGCCTGCCACGGGCTCGGCGCGGCCACGGATCGGCGCCCGACACGCTCACCGCACACACACGTGCCCACTGTGGCTTATTTCCTAACATTTTCTCGGCGCGCCGTACGCGAGCAGCCGGCAGGTAGGAGGCAAGGCGTAGCTGCAGGGCAGCGGCAACTGTTCGTGTGGCAACAGTAGAATGGTGGCGGTGGAGAGCTGGACGCACGGCTATGTTCAAGGCGACTGACGACGGGCGCACGGGAAAATAGGAAGGGGTGCGCCTGCTAGCCACGGCGGCGCTGCCACTCTCCATCATCTCCTTACCGGCCATGCTGCTCGGCGATCATCATCTAGCGATTTCGCAATACGGCCCTGCAAATAAATCAGTACCGACTTTACTGCAAAAATACCAATCCCCGGAGGTGTCACGTGCGCCTTGCGAGACTGCAAAAGAGAGAAAATCGGGCGTCCGACCGGTTCAGCTTGCCTCTCTGACTTAAATGCACCCGCAACGCAAGTTCTGTGACGGGTTTTTCCTGTTTGTAAGTAGTGTGACTTAAGTGCACCAGCAGCGCAAGTTCTAAGACCGCCAGTGACATTTACTCTTTTTACGCAAAGTGGGAAGCTTTAATCTGCCGGACATGATTGAAGACTCTTCAAACATAATGATCTATCTGATACTTTAAAGGTGACGAAAAGTTATTCCATCAATATACCTTAGACCCTCATGTACCTGTCAAACCAATAATGAGTCAATAACACCTAGAACTTGAGTACTATTTTCTTTTGTCTCTGTGATTTATGTTTTCTCTCTGTTTCCACAGATTTTAACAAAAACTTCCTGGCAAAATAGACATAATGTTCTTGTCAGGGGCTGGCTCAAAAACTCCAATGGTTGCAGAACGCATTAACAGGCTAACAGGTGATTTTGCCGCACAGTGCAATACTCCTTATAAGTAGATAGGATATATTCATTATTTGGATTCCATGGCCAATTGGCCATCATCCATAGTATGCAGTGCACACTCTGAACATTTTGAAGTAAGTCACACGAATTCTTGACTTTGTCTTGCTTCCTTGTATCAGCTATGACTTCAGTTTACCTGCATCTTGTCCTTGCGTTGAACCTTAACTTCAGGAGTTTTGAAGGCGATATATTCATTTTGTTCGCTAATTGTTATATCGATGATGAAGTCAGATTTTGAGGTCCCATGCTGAGCCCACATTGAATCAAAACAGAAAGATTTGAAGAGAGATATGATCAAATGTTCAACATAAATAATAAGGTGCACTTCTTGGATGAGCTATGTAGTTTCCACGAGCTTTTTTCCCTGTCGCTAGAGTTACTTTGCTCACTGTAGTGCTGCTTCGTAGGAATTCTGAATTTAAGTTCCCTCTGTGGGAACCCTGCTCTTCCGTAGACATGATTATAGGTTGATGGTCAGGTGACTTATTGAAACCAAACAGGGCCTTACAACCACACGCACACGATACACGAGAGTTGAGACGACTCCCTACCAGGGATTACATCTGTAGCAATCTGGAGTAACACAAAGCCCACACGATTTGCGATAATATAAAGGCAATTTCAGTATCACCATATGGAGGGCGTAACATGATGCACATAGCCAACTGCAGCCAACACAGTCCAGGGTTATTTTCTGTTCTGAGCCACGTCAAGACGTCAACTGCACACGGGTTGCCATGGCGTGCAGGATTTATTCTGACGCATGGATATGATGCACCACCACTGCGTTGAGCTTGAGCAGAAAATGAGAGTCCGTGCAAGTATGCGACTGCGAGTCCTTGGAGCACACATTGCACGTAAGACGCTTTCCCCAAATACCGGTAACTCTGATCTGTAGCGTCGTGGTGTTGTTGGTGGTGGGATGCATATGGCCAAAAAAATTGGGACAAGGTAGGTACTCATAAAACAAACAAGGGAGAGAGTCCATGAACCAAATTGGGCAAAACATATATGCTTCAATATTAGAAAGCTTACATGGTATATTCAAGTGGTACTAAATAATCTTATAGAAGGGCAAAACAGTATACACAGTCTGCAATAGAGTGGCCACAAGCAGGACGACGGCGGCTACAAGTGAGATAAACACCCAAGGATTCCTTAAGTACCTCTGTATGAAATTGGCTCGCCACTTGTTCCTCCTCATCGTGCACTGGGCCTTCACCCGCCGCTGCACGTCGTGGAGCCTGCTAGCCGGGCTCATCACTCCTTTGTTGAGCGTGTTGTTGAGTAGCTTGGCCACCTCCTCGTCACTGCCCAGCCCACACTCGATGATGTTCTTGGATCTCAGCAGCGCCACGTCTTTGGCCGAGCTGATGATGTTGTCCATGAAGATCACGTACGCCGTCACGTCATTGCCAGCACCGGGGTGGAGCCGCTCGAACGCCATCAGGTTCAGAAACTTCTTCTCGGTCCTGTCATCAACCCTGATCGCCGGCATGCTTAGCTTGCCACGTTCGAAGTGGACGTCGAGGAGGCTGTCGGTATCGCTCACCCTGAAATGGATTCCGGCCTCGTATATCTCCATCGCCGAGGGCATGACATACGCCGTCGATCCGGTGCGTTCTTGATGGTCGCCGTGGGTGAGGCTTGTGTACAAGATGTCGAGAGGGTGGAGCCCAAGGTGATTGATGCCAACCAAGTGTCGGCGCCACGGACATAGAGAATCAAGCACCAACCTGCTCACCCGTGAAGCGTTCTATAAAAATTAGTTAGACATAAAGTTAGAACTAACAAGGTTGTTCTGATCTCCATCGTGTGTATGACCCGACTATGATATCTTTGTAATAATATTAACAGGTTCAATATATAATGTTCTGATTAATCTGCATTATGACAATCTTATGCCACCTCAAGGCCGAGAGTATAGCTATCTTTTTTTATTCGATGAACATATGAATTTTCAAATTCTTAGAGCAAACATGGTGGCATGCTTGAATTCTAAGTCTACACCTAAAAGAAATACCCCTGAAAAAATAACTCGTCAAACTGGAATATGAATTTAACAGGAATGGGTTCTACGTCCCAGCGCACAAGGTTCAAACCCCCGGTCTCTGCATCATTGTTGCACACATCCATTTTTATCAATTAGTAAGCAGAGTACAAAACAAAGTAGCCACAACCGAACCATTACAAGATATGAAAAAAGCACCTACAACTAAGTCGACTTCTTCTGCAGCAACACCTTCAAGAAGGAATAACGTTCTCACGTTATCACCGCCACATCCGGCCAAAGATGAAAGATGATCTAGACAAGGATTTTCATCCCGGTTGACAAGACCAGCTAATGAAGACCAGTACGACAACAAGTAGGCGTGTGCAACCATGTATATGTATAATTTTATATACTCCCTCTGTCCGAAAAAGCTCGTCCCAAGTTTATCCCTCAAATGGATGTATCTAGCACTAACTTGATGCTGGATACATCTATTTGAGGGACAAGCTTTTTCGGACGGAGGGAGTACTAGTTAATGTTTAATCTGGTTCAATTGCAAAGAAAAATTAATCTAGTTGAAGTATAAAAAATTCATAGAGAAATGTGTCATTTTAATCACACAACGTCATGTAAAGTCATACTCCATCCGGTCCATGTTATTTGTCACTCAAAATGATGTATACATGTAGATACATCTATTTGCGCGACAAGTAATATGGATCGGAGTGAGTAGTGAAATTAACTTGGCAGGCGGCTATTTTTATTTCGGTCAGTCAAATATTTTAGTTCAGCTATTCAGTTCTTTGACATAAATTTTGTGTGCAATGAGGTTAATGTCACTATTGCCGAGATTTGGGACGGGGTTCAAATCAAGATCTCTTTTGGGAGGGGCTTTGATGCTAAACTTATGCAGCAACAGGAAGACCTTGTACAGATTGTCCGGACCAGATGGCCTAGCAATTACATGGTTCTGGCCTGCATAGTCGCAGTTTCTTTATGTAGTGATTAATTTCAGGGGGGAGTACCCCCATCTTTGTCCCTGCTGTTTGAAAATTACCCATCGTTCCCCCCAGGGTACAGGCTCTTGTCACACAATAAATTGCTCATTAGAGACAATTTGTGTGAGAGACAAGACATCCCTGATAAAAGATACTCATTGTGCTGTAGATTAGAAACTCGCCACCGTTTCTTTGAATTTGATGTTATTGGCACTACCCTGGAAAGAAGTGGGAGTCATAGTTGATGTTCCTGTTGTGCTTGACAGCTATGTTAATGTTGCAAGTCCTTGGTTGTGTAATAAGAAAAGAGGCTTTAGCTTACATGATTTCTTCTGGATTAATGTGGAGTTGTGGACCACTTGGAAACTGATAAATGACATATTTTTTGGCCATGCAGTTTGGTCTGTTTTGCGGATGATGCGGCGACGCCTGTTGCGCTTGCTCAAAAGATGGAGGCCACTGTGTCCTGATGCTGGACAAATGCCTCCAGATCATGGAGACCAAGGCGAGGGAATGTTCCCGGCTCTGCTCAGCTCAGCATGAAGAAGAGAACAACTGTGCTGGTGCTGGGATTTGGAAGATGGCGCTCAAGCTATTGATCTGATCAGGAGTATAGTCCTGATAGCTAAAACTAGCGTGTAGTGCGCGGCGGCACGCGCCACATGGATTGGTAAGTTATTTATTTATTTTTTGTAATTTTTGGTAAGTCGTCTCAAGGCTTAATTCACCACAAATTAGTTATTTGTTTTTTTTGGTAATTTTTGGTAAGTCGTCTCAAGGCTTAATTCACGGCAAATTAGTTATTTGTTTTTTTTGGTAATTTTTGGTAAGTCATCTCAAGGCTTAATTCACGACAAAGTAGTTCATATAAGAAAAGGGTGTATGCATAAGTGATCTACAGTAGGTGGGAAAAGGGTACATCTAGTCTAGGCGGTATATGCATAAGTGATCTACAGTACGTGGTGATAGTGGCTACTGGATACAAAATTGCAAAGCTCTAGTTCTTTTCTTAGACCTGAGGTTAGCTAAAAAAAGGATTGTTCTTCGCTAACAAATAGAAGATGATGCCAACAATGAGGCTGTTTCAAGACCCCATTTATTTAATCACTACCGGTCAGTTTTCATACTACATATATACTGGGAAACACTCAAGAAGACCACATGTGCAACTTTAACACAGCTTCCTGGAACAATCAACTGTCTTTTTAGAGAATTCATTAGCATGGATGATATACAATGCGCCAAATCCATAACAGCTCGGCTTCATGGAACAATCAACTGTCCTTTTAGAGAATTAGTTAGCACGGATGATGTCCGATCAGCACGATGTATGCAAACATTTGAGTTGCTTTAATATCAGGATTGAAATCTGTAGAAATTCATGTGACCAGACCACACTATCTAAGGACCAAGGAAAATCTCATGATAAAATTGTCAGCTTTATGTAAGATAGCAATGATGCTAGAAATGGGAAGTTCCAGGGGCCTAAGTTTTATACTGATAAAGGCCATTAGAACCTTAGAAACACGGAAAATCCCTTGTGGCCTCAAGAAAACAATCAAGTATGAAAGAAAAAGGAAAGAAAATAGATGGAGTATATAATTAGCAACCTTCCAAAATAAAATACGATAAATGACATGGAGAAGGCACAAGTTCACTTAGATTTGTAGGTACTTCCATTTAGAAAAGGAATTGTACAAACTAATTGCTAGAGCAGCAATGAAGCAGTGAACAAAAAAAAGAAAAGATTGTAGGAAGTTCCACATAATAAGCAGCCTTGAGATAGAGATGACAAAAGGCTAAAACGACCTTGGCTCCCAGAAGTTGTGTAGGGTGTGGTCGTTTTTTCTCAGAGTGCAAGAAAGCAAAGAAAATAATAATTCTGAAGTTACCCAAATATCCACAATAGGGTTATTTACTTGCAGTAATTGGTATTGAAAAGGTAGGCACTAAGTAGCTCTCTAATATATATTTTGTTTGGAGAATCTTATAGGAAATGTTGGTCTATGCTCTTTACTATTTAACCAGAGCATGATTATTATAAACAAAAAATGGTACATGCATATTAGACAATGTGAATCAGTAGGCACTGAATTGGAAGCATGATTAACAAGGGAGAAAGCGAAGTCCTCTTATGCAGCTGTTAGTTGGTAGTTGAGCAGTTTTAACATGCTCCCCCTTATCTCCTTTTTTCACATGAGAGGTAAGAGCATATAATAGATCTGACCCGTTGATCTCATTAATTGGTGGTCTAATTAACTCTTACCTTCTTACCTGACATGTAAAAAGCTGGGGTAAGAGGGAGCATGTTAAAATTTGCCTAGCTGGTAATCAGGAGCTAGAATGATTTACAAAAGGAGATGTATAGCCAGTTCAAGCATTTAGGAATCAGTGGATACTCAACTGTAAGCATGATCCATAGGAGAGAAAGCAGTCAGATTATGCAACCATTAATTGGTAATTAATGACCGGTACGTTTGTAAGCAGCTCTGTTAGTAAGAACAGATCTTGTGAGCTCAAGAGACCAAACTGCTACAGTCCAATTTCTAAAGCATTTCTTGCAAAAGAAAATACAAACAATACTGCTAAAAACATAAAGTCATTGTGCCAATATCTCCTACAAAGATCAAATGGGGAAATAGGTACGGGGGAAATTTAAGTGGTTCTGGAATAAGAAGGAATTTCTCATCTGTTTTGCCAAATTGCACTGCATGTAAAGTTATGCCCAAAATGTTATGCTTGACTCGGGAATAATGTAGTGCAGCAGTATATTGCCAATAAATCATGCTCAGTTGTACTGGAAGCCAATATACTCCACAAGACACATCTCGTCAGAACTAAAGTTCCAAATGTACATAGACATCAAGCTGTAGCATTTCCTCAGTACGTCAGTAATGCACATCAAGTGCTTATGTGTTTGAACAGCATGCGAAATTAAAACAGAATTCCTACCAGGAAATGGAACACAACGTAATGGATAGATCAAGAATAAAAATGATTTACCATGCTATATTAGAGATGTAGGTCATGAATTTCTTGCACATACGGGCAGGAGCTGGATCTCAAAATCCATGTCCTCCCCACAGACTTGCACACATACCTGGTAAACCTTCCGTTTAGACTAATAATTAATTAGGTATACAATTTTCTGTACTATATGCACCCACCTTCTGATCTGAACTTGTAAGCAATGACAGTTCATCTCCTTGTAAAACAAAACCTTTTTGCAACGACATATCAAACCAAGAGCAAAAAAACCTCCCACATGTTTTTTCCCTTACATCAGTAAAAACAGAAGTCTAGATAATACAAACTATCATCTAATCTAGTAATAATTATGGTGTGTGTAGTTATATAGATTTGAACAGTGGATGTGAAAAAGAACAAAAAGAGGAGCATACCTTAGTGGTGTTGCTACTGCCAATAAAGTGACGACCAACTGGAGAGCTACCGCCTGAGAGTTGCTAGCTCGCTGCTTGCCGCGTGAGTGACAGAGGAGGAGTCGAGAGCTCGTGGGGAAAGGAGGGGTGAAACACTGCAGCAGCTCGCTGTTGGCTCGCCTCCGGAGGACAGAAGGCCGTGGGCAGTGGGCTCGTCCACCGCCGCCACCAAGTTGGAAGCTGGCGCTGTAGGCTTGCCGAGGAAGGCGGAAGGGCACCGCCTAGGACCAAACTGAGAGCAACGCCGAAAAAAAGAGAGCAGATCCGTCAGCATCATCCTCTCGCTCGCCCGTACTGGCAGATGACGCGTCGGTTCCCTTCTGCGCTTCCGTGGGGAGAAACATCAGGTGAAACGCCATCACTCGGGGCATGGGGGATGCGTGGCGGTGACGCGGCTTGCTGGGGCGGCGGTCGCCGGGATGTGCCGAGGACGGCGCTGCACACTCTCAATCTTGGCTTCACGGACGCAGCGGACAGCAACCCATCCGTGAGGATGCTGGCGAGCACCAACTTGACGCGGTCGTGTCCTCCCCGCGAGCCCCACCGCCTGGTGCCGCCACCGCTCGTCTGCCCAGTCACCGTTCCATGACCATGCCGTCCGCGACCGACCACCACAAACGCCCCTTCCATCGCCACCTCTTCGCCGAGCGGCGTCACCATCGTCCCTCTCCGCCATCCAGCACCGTGGGTTGGCTGTCCCGGTGGTCGCCCGTCTCGTCTTCCTCTGGGAGGTGCCCGGTCGCCTCCCTTGTGCAGCCGGCTAGGACAGGGTGTATGTGAAGAGGGGGTGGTGTAGCCGTAGTGGAAGGAGGTGCGATGGCTACGTGCGCCACCACCTTGGCCCGGGGAGGGTAGATGTGAAGCCGTCGCTCCGAGAGGATTTGGATGCCGGCAGTCGGGCCTGGCAGAGAACGGGAAGGATGGTTGTGGGAGCCGCGATCTGGGAGATGAATAGGGGCATTTTATAGTCGTCTACATCGGAAGCAGTTTTGATGGGATGCCTCTCGAGAGGTCCAGAGAGACAGCTCTAGACGCCTCCACATCCACCCGTCTAAATAGGCCACTGCCACGTAATATCAAAAGACAAGTACAATAATATAGAGGAACTCTCCGGTAGAATCTCATGCACACGCGTCAATAGACAAGGTCATCTGACTTTGGCAATCACCACGTCAAATCAAACGTGCTAAAACCATCCAACCAAGATTTTTTTACTGCACCCAGGAAAACTGCTGGACACGCGTCACCCCAACAACCGTGCTAAAAAAAAGTTCAAAAAAACCAGAAAAATGAATCCCTTACGGGCCTAGTATTCTTAGTATTTGTAGTGGAGACTGGCGCAGGGTAATACCGTAATAGTAATACTTTTTTGAAGTTTTTCTCCCAAAAATTTCACGCGTACAAAGTTGTACTCCTTCTGTCCCATAATATAATATACATATTATTGTAATAACATCTTATATTATGAGACGAAGGAAGTAATACTTATTAGTAATATGTACTAGTGTGTTAAGAACACAGGGACGATGCACGAGAACAATGCCTGCCAAAGAACTTTGTGAGACTGAAGCCACTGTCCTCGTGACCTCTGTAAGTTAACATAAGATGTTTTTAGTTGCGGACTGAACAAATAAGCTGCCAGTGTGAAATATTTTATCCTTATCAATCGCATAAGTGTTCAAGCCTTTTCATTAAAGTTCATTATAATAATCAAGAAAAGTCTTCGTTGTACTAGATGCCGGAAGGAAGGCCACAACAAAAAAACATATACAACGGTTCTTCTATCCCGGCATCAAGTTGTTTATCGTGTGAGTATCCACGTGTATTTCATGCATACTGCGTATGTTTGTCCGTGCATGATAATATCTTTCAATTATCTCTATGCCTCTCTTTCAAAGTTTCAAGTAAGATATCACTTTCACACAAACGTTTGGCTGGCTCCCCTTTGCAGCCTGCCAATCAAGCATGTCATGTCTCCTTCTGTTCCTGTCCAGGTCGGCATGCAACGACACTCACTGAGCGATGCTTCTACGCCACTTAAACTGAATCCAGCAACCAATCCACTCAGTCGAATCAATTCCTTGAATAAATAAATCTATTGCCAGTGAAGACATTATTGTCAAATCCAACTACTCCAATGCAGATCGCATCAACGGTAGCAGTACTTTAAGTAAATCTATCAGTGAAGTCATTATTGCCGGTTTGAATCTGGTGGATCGATCGGGATTTCATTGGCAAACTACGGACGGAAGGAAACTAGTGCTTGCAAGGGGGATGAATGAAGGAGCGAAAAGTACCTGATATTTGTGGTGATCGAGGACAATGAGGAGCCTCTGGAGGAGGAGGAGCGGCAGCTGGTTCTCGACGACGACCATGTCGGACTGGATGTAGTTCCACAGGTAGAGGTAGCCGTACTTGCTGAAGACCGGGTCGTTGGGCGCGTACTCCTCGTGCACCTTTCCCCGCAGCGCGTCCATCCGCATCGCCTCCACCAGGAAGCACCCGTCGGTGACCATCAGCTGCACGAAGCGGTCCCGGTTCTCACCGGCGCCGCGCCACTCGTCGCCGAGGTCCTTGTAGGCGTCCTGCAGCTGCTGCGCCACCTCCGCCACGGCGGCCACGAACTCCCGCAGCGGCCGCCCCGAGCGCTTGACGAGGTGCACCACGGCCCGGCGCTTGTGCTCCTCCATCGGGAGCAGCTCCGGGTCGCCGTGGTGGAAGGGCCCCAGCGAGACCAGCTCCGGCTGGTACGCCTTGCTGTTGTGCAGGTTCTTGATCCGCTCCGGCACGCGGTAGATGGAGTGCCGCTTCCACCGCGCCATCTCCGCCGCCGGGTCGATGTGCATCTCGCCGATCGTCTTCTCCATCTCCACCACCCAGCTGCTCAGCGGCGCCCCCGCGTCCGCCTCCACCGTCGCCGCCGCCGTCGCCTCCCCCATTAATGGATCACGCTCGGGACTGGACTGGGTTCAGCTCACTGGGGCACTGAGCTGGAAGGTCGCTGCACTGTCGCTATGGAGAAGGGGCAGGCAGGCAAGTTGCAATTGGTCGGATGGCGCCCACACCCATGGATTGGAAGCGCACGCTACCGATGCCGATGATCGTCTTCGGTAAGGACAAGGAATTTTCTTGCGTGGGCTCCCTCCACCATAGGCCGCCCCTTTCGGCGGTAACCTAACCTTGTCTGTGGATTATTTATGGTATCGGCGGAAAAAGCAAATCTGGCCGGCCCCAATAATGCAGTGACACGACCACCATTTTTCCTCACATTTTTTCTTACTGATGCTGAGTTTATGCCCGGTTCCACTGTCAAGAGAGGAGCTAACGAAATAGACTACGAGTAACCGGCATCCAGCGCACAAGTTTGAAAGGTGTACAAATCTGAGTACGCGTTCCTGCTGTAAAGGGAGTTTCCAGTTTGGCAGAATGAGACGGGCAATGCTAGACCTACGTAAGGTCTGTTACGGGTTCAACGTAAACAACATCGTGAAGAAAGATTATTGGATCGGTTAGAGGGAACGGGCCCACCCTGTTAAAATCAGGGGGCGAGAGAGGTGTATGGGACGGAAATAATATAGGCCTTCATAGCCACTTCGTAGGTGTAGGATTATCGGAATGGGACTCAAGAAATATGCATCAATAGGGTTTTTGCAGCTACAGGTGTCAGTGAGCACTTTATTTTAAATATTTCGTTTTTTTAATGCTAAAGCAATTCCACACATGGTTTTTTTATTTAAAATAAAGCGCTCATCGAGGACACCCGGGCTCTAAATTGACATCTTTGTACACCGCAAACAAAAGCAAGGTAAAAATAGAGAAAGCTCTGATAGTAAACAAGCAGCAAAGGCTAGTTACATGCAGCACAACGGACGATCGATCCCAGCCCATCAAACCACACCGGCGGCAAGACCAAAAGATCAACCGGTAGCATATGAACAGGCGGTGGGCGGCGGCTATCGCCGCAGCTCAGGATCCCAAACACGTCAGTAGATATCTCTGCCAGAACCAGCGAGCTTCATCTCCATCAACGACGGAATTGCAGGCTTCGATCCGCCGAGCGAGCACCATCCAGGTCCCAGGGGCCAGCAAGGGCAGTGTGTCCTGCTCCTGCAGCACACCATCTTTTGTTTCTGTTTGACGGACGCCGCATCGTCGATAGTTCGAGGCGTGGCTCTGACAGCTGCTACATCGAAAGCAGGAGAGAATATTTTTGACCTCGCGTTGGTTTAATCCTTAGTTTCAAGTAGTAGTAAGACCCTTTCGCTTTGCGGCAACCCATCACTGTCTCAGCTCACTCTTATCTGTGTCGGTCTTCAACCTCGCCTCAGTGTCTCCACAGTCCACACCTTTCTCTTTTGCATCCGATACGACCGAGGCATGCACGACACTGTTTAACCCAAATCACTAATTAGAAGGTACTCGTTGCAAAGACCACTACACTTTGCAGCGCGCCACTTGTCGGAATCCGGAAGTTTTCTCTTTTTTCGTAGATTCGTTTATTCAAAACGTTTTATCTCTTAAACCGTGCGTCCAAATCTCGAACCGTTTTCACCGTTGAATTCCTCGCGTCGAGATCTTCAAAACTAGAGTCCCATATTGATAGGTTTTGACGAACTTTTTTTTCACGAAAAAAAACGGGCGAGAAAACCGAACCGGGAGCACGGTTTTTTTCCTTTCCGAAATAGGCACGCCCGTGCATCTCGCAAAATCACAACCGTGCCTCTCGTGGAAGCAAAACCATGACTCTCGTGTAAGGAAAAAAAAACAGAAAACGTGTTTTTTTTTCTGTTTCCGAGAGCCACGGCTGTGACTCGCGAAAGCACAACCGTGGCTCTCGCGAAAGCAAAACCGTGGCTCTCGCGAAAGAAAAAAAAACAGAAAACGCGTATTTTTTTCCCTTTTCAAGAGGCACGGCCGTGACTTTCGCGTAAACACAACCGTGCCTCTCACGGAAGCAAAACCGTGACTTTCACGAACGAAAAAAAATAGAAAAACGCGTTTTGTTTTTCCCTTTCCGAGAGGCACGGCCGTGACTCTCGCGAAAGCACAACCGTGCCTCTCACGAAAGCAAAACCGTGACTCTCACGAAAGAAAAAAACAGAAAACGCGTTTTTTTGTTTTCGAGAGGCACGGCGGTGACTCTCGCTAAAGCACAACCATGCCTCTCGCGAAAGAAAAACCGTGACTTTCACGAAAGAAAGAAAAAAAACGCGTTTTTTCATGAAAAAAAAATTCGGAATTTTTTTTGATCGAAAAGTTAAGAAAGACCAGAAAAAACCAAAACGTCGAAAAAACCCAAAAAACAGTTTAAAAAGCCGAAAACACGTGCGGAAAAATAAAAAAAAATAAAATTCAAAGGGAGCGTCCAGAGCACGACACGTGACAAATGTCTGAGAACGCGCCAAATGGCGCTGATCGTTGCGAGGCTCCCGAAGAAGCGCTCGTTAACTAGTTGCTCCCCTGTTCAACCCATTTTGAGAAACACGGTAGGCCGAACAAGCCGGCCCGGCTCGGCCCACCATAATTGTGCCCGGCCTGGCCCATGGGGGCATGTTTACTAAACAAGTGGTGCTGTGCCGGCCCGTGTGCTGCACCATCTAGCCCAGGCACAGCCTAAATGCTATTCAGGTCGGCACGACACGACGCTAGGCACGCCGGGCGTGCGGGAGCTATATCTCGCTTATAGCCAGAAATGTGCTGCCCTCGCCTAAATGCTTTCCATCACGTATAGTCATTGGGCAGCGCAGTTTTGTCAGTTTCTTCGATTTTTTTCCTTCTTTTTGTTCTTACTTTGGCTTTTCTGTTTCTTTAATGGGTTCTCATCATTTTTTTTCCAACCTGCCTTCTCCATTTCTCTCTCATTTTTCATGGGCTTTCTGTTCTTTCTTATGTTTTTGTTTCTTTTCTTAGTTTTCCTTTTCTTTCCCAGTTTCCATTTTTCCTCTATTTTTTGTTTCTTTCTTGGTTTTCAATGTTTTTTTATTTTTTGTTTCATTGTTGGTTCTCACTGTTTTTCATTCCTTTTGCACTTGTTTCTTCATTTTCTTTAGTTTCGTGTTTTCTTTGCTTTTTTGGTTTTCATCGTTTCTTTTGGTTCTTGGTCTACACTTTTCGTATACGTCAAGAACATTTTTCTAATACATATTTTTTTAAAATTCAAGTTTAACAAGTTTTTAAGACATTGTCAATATTTTTCTATACACAATTTGGACATTTTTTAAATGCTTGATAAATATTTTTAAAATATAAGATTAACAATTCTTGAATCACATTATAACATTTTCAAATGCTTGATTTGTTAGATTTATGGCGTGATCTCAACTATCTCTTCTTCTCTCTAAATTTTTCTCTGAAGAACATTACACACATGAGGTAGACTGAAAACAGAGGAACACAGTCACACAGAGAAATAAGAGTTTTGCGATGGGTAATTCTTTGCATCTTTTCTGGGGCTTTGTTTATTCCATCTTGCAACTGAAAAACAGAAGGAAGCTCGCCACAATCCAACTAAAGAAAACTAATACGCGTGTCGTCCCACGGGCTAGGATCGTGCCGAGTCTGGAGCTAACAAACCAAGCTAAAGACTAGGACGGGCCACAACAAGAACGAGCTAGCTTTTGGCCCGTGCAACCTACATAAATTCGACTAAACCATGAGACTGCACTTATGTTGCTACCAAGCAAATAAACAGAAAAACTAAATGATGCAGATACGTCAAGGTTAACATCATTCAGCTCCTCAAACTTAAGGGATCTGCTCCAATGAACGTACTCCGATTCTGTCCCTAAGTTTCAGGAGGCTAACTCTTCCCAACGCCTTTGTCTATATCTGCGAGCTGATCTCTTGTGCGTACAAATTCCACTTCTACGCTTCCATTCTCAACACATTCACACACATAATGATGTTTTCAGATCAATATGCTTACTTCTTTCATGATTCCATCAGAACTTTCCTTTTGAGTTTTTTTAAGGCTCCTTTTGAGGGTTGAAAGCTCAGATATGTATTTTTTTGAGCAAAAGGTTCAAAACTCAGAGAGCGTGGCGTCGTCCATAAAAGAGGGCACCGATGGGGGAAGATATGCAGCCCAGTAAATTTCAACCCGAAAGCCCAAAAGATTTCAGCCCAATTGCATACCCACGAAACAAGTGTCCAGTCCACTACTGCCTAGGTCACAGACTCAGAGCGAAGGGACGACGAGACGCACCTGCCAGGTCTACACGCGCCGCCGCCTCCAGGACCCTCCGCCCCTCGCCGCCGCCTCCAGGATCCTCCGCCCCTCGCCGCCTCCGTCCTCCACTGCAGCAGGAAGCAGGTGACCTCCTCCCCGGCTCTCTCATTCCCCTCTCTGTTTTTCTCTGCCGTAGTGTGTGCTCGCCCTGCTCGGTGCGTGCCTGGCTGCTTACGCCGAGCAGAGAGAGAAACAGGAATGGCAACAGCGGCAGCAGTAGTGGGTTGGCTCGGCCTGTAATTGGGAATAGGTCTGATTGGTAGCTCCCAATTTGCTAATTTGTACTGTATTATTCATCTGTATATGTGTCTGGCTGTCTATATCTATATGATGATGCTTGCTGCTTGGGAGCCTAATGAAAATTTGAGAAATGAAGAGCCTAGGAAAGGGGAACGACGAAAATCCGTTGACACTATTTTGTAGTATTGTCACATGTTGTGTTCTCCTTCTCAAGAATAAAAAATAAAAAAGAGCACACACTCACGTATCCTTGAATTCGTGTTTTGGGGAAATGCCGTCTACCGGTATATTCAGTGTTCGTATCCCCGTCCCGTGTAACTTAGCTGCTAAGTGCCAAGTACTTACCTGTTCCTCAACCGGCAATCTGGCATTGCATTAAAGAATCAACTTTCCTTACATGTTCTGTGTTTTGACGTCTCGTCCTGCTGCAGATTGAAGCTATGGCCTTGGTTAATAAGCTTGGTAATCTGCTCAAGAAGGCCACTAGCTCGAATCCGACTCTCTATCAGGCAATAAGATGCATGTCATCATCGAAGCTCTTCGTTGGAGGTTTGACCTCCTTACAGCTTATACCTCTGTTGATGATCTGTTCAAAAATCAGTTGTTCTGCTGCGATGCTGTTCTCTGACTGCCATGAGTAATTGTTGCAGGGCTTTCCTTTAACACAGACGAGGGCAGTCTGAGAGATGCCTTTTCCCATTATGGAGAAATTATTGATGGTATGCAGTTCTTAATCTTTCTCTGTGCTCATCTTGGGCTGCTGTTTTGGTAATGGTTTTTTCTTCCTTTTTGCTTTGTTCTTTCCAGCTAAGATTATCGTAGATCGCGACACTGGAAGGTCTAGAGGTTTTGGCTTTATAACTTATGCAGCAGAAGAACAGGCTTCATCTGCCATCATGGCCTTGGACGGAAAGGTAAAATCATAATCGGGATGAACTCTAACAGATTTTTTTGGTGCTGTGCTTTCTGATATTAGTCTAATTACTCTATGTTTAGCTGAGAAATTTCAGACCAGGATAAATTTGTTAGAACTATATCTTGCCCCAATTCTCTCCATCAAAGCAATGTTTCTTAAGCTTGTTTTTTAACTGCGTATTCTACATTAATGATGGTGAAACTCCTGTTGATTGGTTGGAAGTTCGTTGTACTTCCCTGGATGTCATGGCTGTGTCTTTAATAACAAAGAATGAGATATGTGGTGTACATCAGTTATCACTGCAATCCGATTCAAGTTGGATAACTCTAGCATGTAATGGAAGTATTGGGAACTGTGATATTGATGTTATAATAGCAAAAAAAGTCGTGAATTCTGCCACATCATCTTTCTTAATGCTCTGCTAGCCTGTTAGGAAAATGTAATTATGTCAAGTTCATCAGTGAGTGAGCTTACTACAATTTTTTTCATCACCTTCCCTTGACAGGTTTACTGTAGGAGTTTCAGTTTCAAGAACATGCAATGATTCATATAAGTTTCAAAGCTTTGCATCTAATGTTGCCCATCAACTTATTTCTTCCTTATCTCAGGATCTACATGGACGCAACCTACGGGTTAGTGCTGCCACTGAGAGGACCGCTGGCTTCCGTAATGGTGCTGGTTATGGAGGTGGTGGTGGCGGCTTTGGAGGAGGAGGATATGGCGGTGGTGGCTATGGAGGAGGTGGTTATGGTGGCAACAGTGGTGGTGGCGGCGGCTTTGCTCCTGCTGGCGGCGACAACTTTGCTGCCGGCAACTTTGGTGGTGACCGTGGTTTCGGTGGAAACCCAGCTGGAAACCATGGTGCTCCTGCAGGTTCCACCAGTGGTGATGAGTTCTCCCTTGGCACCCCTGGTTCCAGCTTTGAAAGCGCCAAGAATGACGATGTCATGGACGACCTCTTCAAGGATGATGAACCTGACAAGTACGCCAGCAAGAATTTCTAGGGCTCCAGTCTGCATCTCCTTCTGCAAGTCCCTAGTTATGTACCTTGGATAAGTGTGAGGTGAATGATCCTCCAGACCAGAGACTACTTTCCGGATGACTGTCTAGTAGAGACCAAATAACTTACTCGAGTACCTGCGTTGAGGTGACAATGAGAATGCACTTTCAGTTTGCCTGATTTAGCATGTTTTTCGTTCTCTTCACAAATTATCCTTCAGCAGTGATGATATTTTGGGGATCATGTTTGGAACCGTTAGTTTTGTGGTTTCATCAACCGACCTGAAGCTCATTCTGATAATGGCCTGACAAGGGTTACCCAGAACAATTTGATTGGTGGCCACAAGGATCATATTGTTTTCTGTCAGTATTTTTTCTAGGTTTATTTACTCGGATTATATTTTGTCTGTTCTTCTTTGCCTATATCCCATGACCTGTTACTCCTCATTTGCTGTTTTCTGTTGTGTCTGAACTGCCTGTGTAAACCCATGCATATAGAATGCAGGCTTTTCTGTACAATGCAGGGGAATCCGCTTGAGGTTTTCTGCTCCTTTTCCATCCAGTCATACAAACTCGCATTCATTTATTTGAAAAGAAATCAGCTCGATCAAGAGACATTGTTGTTTGGCAGGTGCTTCTGAACCCATTGAAAGTAGCAGTTTGCGGCAGTTTCCTGAAAGAATCTCCACGGGCCTCCCTCTGAAACTGCACTACTGTTCCTCTCTCAAACTCTTCAGAACTAAACGTATTTTCTCAACAAATTTTTTGACGGGTAAAGAACTTTATTCCTCAGACTAGCAAGATGCCCGTGCATTGCACGGAACATCAAGATGCATTTTTTTTACAAAACACCGGTTGTGATTGACCCATGCAGGAGTAATCCCATGTGTAAAAACTAATGATATCTCGAGAATTTTATCGAAAAAATGGTATCTCGAGAATTTCATCAAAAAAATGAAAGATGAGAGATAAGGTGAGGAGGAATAGAGCGTGGTGGTGACTGGTGGTCGGACTGGGCGGAGGCATGGGGATGGACGGCGCCGGAAGGTGGCAGCGGCCACCATGCTAGATTGTTCTAGAGACTTCCTTTTTTAATTGCTCAGCAATGAGGTTGTGGGAGATAAGGATGAACGAGGCAAGGCCTTATCTGTAAATATGGAAAGAGGTGCGGGTATCTTTTGTAAAATTGTCATAGTTTGCTTTCTATCTATCAGATATAGATCGGACAGTCTATATTACAAGATGGCAGGCACACCATCATCACCAACTCGGTTTTTTATAAGAATAGAGATAATAGAGAGATCATGTACAATGAGATGAGAAATGAAGTCCGGAATTGAGCTATCCCAAACCTCAGACGATCTATTACTAAGGGAGTATTTTGCTAAGCTATCTGCTACACTGTTGGCTTCGCGGAAGCAATGGATCACGTCCACCTTTGTTAAGCTTGCAACAAGAGCTTTACATTCAGAAAACACCAGCTGCATCCGGGCCTAAATAAACATCTTGATTGAGTATTTTTTTTTCAACAATTTATTCAGTACGTGTGCACAAATCCTGGGCAATGCCGTCAACAGACCATAGTATATCAGTTATCAATCGATCTGCAGCTGCCATCAGGGGTGCACGGGTTTGCGCCAGTTCACGGACCTCCGGCACCGGGCGGGCACCGTCCATGTCATATTCCGGCCGTCCCTCTTCCTCTCCTCCGGCGCCATGCCCCGGTACCTCCTCCAGTCGGCGACCACGTCCCTGAGGTCGTGCACCTTGTTGTCCACGCCGACGCAGCAGTCGGCGTGCATGGTGCAGGCGCTGGCGAGGTCGTCGTGGTACTCGCAGAACCCGCCGAAGTAGACCGTGTCCAGGGGCTCGATGGTGACCCCCAGCTTCTGGACGAGCTCGCGCTTGATGTTGCCGAACACCGACTGGTCGTGCGCGCCGGGGAACCTCGCCCGCGCCGCCCGCCAGTACTTGAGCATGCGCACGCCCCGGCTCGTCGCCTTCACGTAGTAGAGCCCCGTGTTGAGCGGGTTGTCCAGCGGGCGCGCCCGCGCCGCCGAGTAGTCGTCGGAGGACACGCTCATGTCCGCGTACACCGGGATCCGCCGGAACGGGTTCCGGAGCACGATCATGTCGGCGTCCTACGGTACATGCAAGCGATAGATATAAATCACCATTGATTAGTTGTGCTTGTGGTGTTGTGGCGTTCAATCTCACGTACGGTGAAGAGGAAGTTGTAGCCGAGCTCGAGGACGCGCTGCTGGAGCTCCAGCTTGGTCCACACCAGCTCGAGGTACTGCTTGGACATGAACCGGGCGGCGGAGGTGAGGTTCACGGTGGTCACCTCGAGGAGGTAGCAGTGCGGGTGCACGGCGGCGCACCGGCGGAAGCCGGCCGGGTCGAGGGCGACCACGAGCAGGTGGTCGAGGAGGTGCGCGGTGTCCTCGCCGTTCTTGAAGCTCTCGAGGTAGAGGTCCAGGAGGGAGCCCGGCCGCGCCCACGCCTCGTTCACCGACGTGATGATCACCGTCCGGTCCTCCGTGCACACCTTCGGCAGCAGCTGGGCCAGGCCCGGGAATCTCTCCGCCTGCGCGCGAGATAATAAAATGGGCTCATTTAGAAACTGAAACATAAGTACGGTGCAAAGGGCCCGTTAGGGGTGTGTGAAGCGGGAGCTCCTATTCAACGCATTTTGCGTCAAACAGCGAAGCGACCACGCACGGACCCCCCGACTGGGCCGGCCCGAATAGAGGGTGATGTAGTGAGCGCATTGATGTTAAAAAAACGGAAATGCAGGCAGAGTCTCTGTCACCAGGATTCGAATAAGTCGGATGATTTCCTCGGGAAATCATCCGCCTAACCAGCCGTCCGATCTGACGGGGGTTGCCGTTGGATCGTAGCACAGCCTCGTCTTCCTTCCATGTACGCAGCGCGGCAGTTGGATCGCAGCACAAATCTCGTCTTCCTTCCCTGTACCAAGCGCAGCAGCTTCCATGGCAGCACTGGTGGCGCCGCCGACGCTCCATTGCAACCTCCGGCGTGCTTCACTGCAGCTCCGGCAACGCTCCATTGCAACCCCGACGACCTTCCGGCGTGCTTCATTGCAGCTCCGGCGACGCTCCATTGCAACCCCGACGACCCTCCGGCCTGCTTTACTGCAGCTCCTGGCGACGCTCCATTGCAACCCCGACGACCCTCTGGCGTGCTTCACTGCAGCTCCGGTGATGCTATATTGCAACCCCGACCCTCCGGCGACGCTTCACTGCAGCCGCGGTGGAGCTCCAATGGCCCCAAGAGCTCTCCAATGCAGCTCCGCCGCCGGCGACTTGCAGCATCAGCAGGTTGTATCGCAGTGCTGTGGCCATGGATGCGTTGCTCTGCATTGGAGCACAGATGGTCGTCGACGAGCGCGGCGCATCGCCGGCGGTACCGACGAGCGAGCGCCTCCCCCGTACGCGTTGCGTCACACCCTCGAGGATGCAACGCCGCGGCGGTGGCGTGCGGACTTCACCGTCTCTCCATTTGTGGTGGGATGCAGGAGCGTGGTGGAGCCGTCGCTCCCTTTTTCGCAGCACCGTGGCCGAAGTACGCCATGGGGGCTCTCCTCTTCTCGCGAGCAGAGATGGGAAAGAGAAAAAAGTGAGCGGGGATGAAAACGTGTGGAGGAGAGACGGGGTGAAGAGATAAGGCCGGCTGAGCGAAGCGGTGGAGGGCAAGAGGACACGTGTCGATCAACGGGAGCGGCTTGCGTTTTGTTCTTTTCATCCGACTTTAGACAAACGTTTTCCTTCGAACTCAGCACCTACAACAACGGTCGGAGAGAGCTAACCAGTTGACCTAACAAGTACTTGTGAAAAATCAGAGCGTGGCGATATAAAAGAACCCGGACAGCTTTTTTGATATAGTTCGAACTTTCCTCGGAAATTGTTATTTTTTGTAGCAACGCACAAAGTTTGAATAAAGAAGACAAAAATTTGAAAAACTCAGACAAATTCCAAAAAATAAAATAAAAGCGTGAACATATTTCGGCAAAACAAATTATGGAATTCTTGAACATTGACTGAAATAGCGAACATTTATTGACTTTTGAGAACAAAAAATTGAATAATGGGAACAATTTTTGTAAAGCGCAAAGATAATTTGAAATTCCTGAACATTTTTTTAAAAGCTCGAACAATTATAGAATTTTGAGAACAAAAATTGAAAATGAGTTCATGTTTTGAATTGTTAAATAATTTTTTAAAAGCTTGAACATTTTTTGAAATTTCAGAACATTTTTCGAAACCACGAACAATATTTGGATTTGTGAGACAATTTTTAATATTCTGAATAGTTTTCTATATTGGTAACATTTCTTGACTTGTTGAACAGTTTTTCAGAAGCATAAACATTTTTTTTAAATTGCAGAACATCATTTGAAAACAGGAACATATTTTAATATTCTGAACAGTTTAAAAAACACGAACATTTTTTGAAATTTCGGAGCATTTATTGAATTTATGAACAAAAATCAGAAAACATGAAAGTTTTGGAAATTTGAAAACAATTTGCAGAAAACGAACATTTTTTGAAACTTTCATGTATTTCTAGAAATTATGAAACAAATTTTAGAAAACAAGAACATTTTTTGAAAAAATAGGAACATTTCTTTGCTTTTTCGGCAAAACCGGATTGGGCAGTTCCTAAGGTATCTATGTAAGTGGGCCGGCCCAAGCAGCGTCACTCGGTCGTTCCCATGTGCGAAGCGGCGGCATTTTGCCGCAATGAGCGGCCAATAGGAAATTCCGTGTGAAGCTAGTCCACTGTTTGTAAAAGTGGAACTGAACGAGGAGTACAAAAGCCCATTTTGGCCGTGCTTTTAGACGACACCTTACTGACAATAAGCCAAAATTATACTAGAAAAAAAAACAATTAGACCTTATCAATCTTGATACTTCATCCGTTCCTTTATACTAGGAGTATATTTGTTTTTCAAAAGTCAAACGAGTGCATGTTTGACCAAGTTTTTAGAAAAATATATCAATATCAAAAATACAAAATTTATATCATTTGATCCATCATGAAAAGTAGTTTCATATTTTATCTATCAAGTATTGCTGAGGTTTTTATTTCATTCTATAATCTTGATCAAATATTCTAATAATTGACTTGCATGGAAATCAATACTATGAGATAGAATGCAATAGAAATAGAAACAAGGATATCAAACGGGTTACCTACTCCTAAGGGTCAAAGCAAGCCCTTTAATTCAATTCGTTATTCTGGAACAAAGTATATTGTACTCTGTTTTTTCTAAGTAAGAGCATTTCCCGATCCTTCTTCCTCCTCTGTCCTTTATCCCTACCACGAGGTTCCATTGTCGTTATTGATCACCTTCTTGCTCTTCCACTATTTGTCCATCCTCCTTGAGTCGCCGACTCTTTGCACCTCTTAATTCTCTCAACACGATTAGTTGCCCCACTCATCTTCACCCCCTCCCTTCTCTCCTTTTCTCTTCTTTCATCCTCCCGATGTCTGCTTGCCACTTATCTTCTTCGTAGCGGGCCACATAGTGTGTGTTGCGCCTTGAGCCCAAACATTGATTTGCTCCGAAGATATTTTGATGAAGCAATCATAGATTTGAGCCATTGGATCGATCATACATACTCCTTCCGTTCCAAAACACTTGAAGTTCTAGCTTTGTCCCAAGTTAAACATCATTAATTTAACCAGATTTACATTAAAAAAAATGCTAATACACACACCATCAAATATATACAGCACAATATGCAAATATATTTTTATGATGAATGTAGTGAAACAACTTTAGTGTTGTAAATGTTTGTATATTCTTATATAGACTTGGTCAAATGTGATGAAGTTTGACTTAAGACAAACTATAACTACATGTATTTTGGAACGTATGGAGAAATTAGGGCCTGTTCAGAGTCCCTCCGCTCCATGAGGCCGCTCGCCGAGCACGCAGAGTTCCAGTTAAAAACCGTGAAGAGAGTGAACAGGTACTCCGCAGATTCTTAAATTTCAGGGAGAGGGCGGATTGCCGAACAACTCCTTAACATCACCCGTCTGGTATTCATAACATAAAATTTATCATAGAAGGAAAATCTTCATCGTACCTAGTGAAATTTATCCATGCAAGTGTTTATCGAAAAAGGTTTTCGCCCCGCTTTATAAATAAAGCAAACCGCCACAGAGCACATACATGGACTAGTTCAAACACACACACCCAAGTCTCACACACAAGTACGAAGGTTCTGCTGAGGGCACAACTCAACAAGGTCTATGCAAGTGTTTAGCCCCCTCAAGAGCTGGGCAAATGGATAAATAAAAACATGGGATGGAGGTGAACACGTGTGCATGGATAAATATACGATGGGCTTGCTTTCTTGATTACCTCATGTTGCTGTGGTGCCGGAGCCGTCCCTGGGGTCCCGCCGTTGCTGTTCCCCAGCCAGCTGCCGGAGACGCTGGACAGCTGCTCGCCCACCCGGTCGGAGGCCAAGACGAAGAGGAGGATCGTGGGCAGAGCTGCCCCGAGGAAGAACGGCACCACGTGGTGGCCGCTCAGCTTCAGGCTCCCCTCCTTCACCGACCCCATCGACATAGCTCTCTCCGAACCACGACGCAGAGATAGATAGCTAGCTCGTCGAGCGATCGATCGGCAAGAATACGAGGAGGTACTAGCTAGGAGGCAAGCTTAGGTCGTTGCAGTCCACTGCCTACACGGGTGGGCTGGGTCATAGCTAGCTGTATATATGAATTGGTCTAGTTCTTCCAAAGGATCGACCAACGACGTGTGATTAGCCATGGCCAATGGGATGGATCCCTTGCTAGCCTATGCTACCCAGGGGGGCAGGCAATTTCTACGGTTGTCGACGCGGCCGGGGATGCGGTTTTCTACTGGTATACTCTTCACCGGACCGAGGGAGTACTTGTCAACGATGCGATTGTGTGTGCAAATGTGGATGTTTTGGATTTTCCGGATGCTTCTTTTTATTGACGCGTTCAGTTTAGTTGCACGCGGTCAGAGGTCACTACCTTGGACCACCTGTGCGTAGTAACCCGCTGAACGTCCGGCTAGGGCGACCTTGCTGAATACCCATACCCAAGCGTAGAAACAGTAGTAGACTGAGGTAGAAGAGCACCCACGGCACGGCACGGCACAGACCGATGTTTCAGAGACTTGTTTGCAGCGGAAATGACGGGATGGAACATTGTATTCGGAGACTTGTTTGCGCCTCGATGGGCAAGAACGGTCAGCGCGCATCTATATATGCACCGTGAAATATATTGGAGATTCGTGCATCCGGATTTTGCTGATATATATCATATATTACGAAACATTACGGAATGTTAAGATGCGCCCTCAAGCAAGAAAAATATCTGATGAGACTAGCCAGAAGTTTAACGAGTGCACTCTTGTTTTGTTGGTACACAACGAAACATTATATTATATATGATGATACAGTTTGAAATCAAGCGAGGACCCAACAAATATCGTTAGGATAGAAAGTCGTTTCTCCTTGATTGACCAATGCAGTTGACCTCTAATCGCCGACACAGGTCCAACTTAATTAGTGTGCATGTATTTTTTATCCAAGAATAGCGTTTCTTCAAAATAAAAAAGGGGAAATATCATTCACCTATCAGTACAAGTGCATTATGAAATATTTGTTGGAAATATGCCCTAGAGGCAATAATAAAATGGTTATTATTATATTTCTTTGTTCATGCTATAATTGTGTTATCCAAAAATCGTAATACATGTGTGAATACATAGACCACAACACGTCCCTAGTAAGCCTCTAGTTGACTAGCTCGTTGATCAAAAGATAGTCATGGTTTTCTGACTATGGACATTGGATGTCATTGATAACGGGATCACATCATTAGGAGAATGATGTGATGGACAAGACACAATCCTAAGCATAGCTCAAAGATCGTGTAGTTCGTTTGCTGTAGCTTTTCCGAATGTCAAGTATCATTTTCTTTAGACCATGAGATTGTGCAACCCCCGAATACCGTAGGAGTGCCTTGGGTGTGTCAAACGTCACAACGTAACTGGGTGACTATAAAGGTACACTACAGGTATCTCCGAAAGTGTCTGTTGGGTTGGCACGAATCGAGACTGGGATTTGTCACTCCGTATGACGGAGAGGTATCTCTGGGCCCACTCGGTAATGCATCATCATAATGAGCTCAATGTGATCAAGTGGTTGATCACGGGATCATGCATTACGACACGAGTAAAGTGACTTGCCGGTAACGAGATTGAACGAGGTATTGGGATACCGACGATCGAGTCTCTGGCAAGTAACGTACCGATTGACAAAGGGAATTGTATACGGATTGATTGAATCCTCGACATCGTGGTTCAGCCGATGAGATCATCGTGGAGCATGTAGGAGCCAACATGGGTATCCAGATTCGGCTGTTGGTTATTGACCGGAGAGGCGTCTCGGTCATGTCTGCATGTCTCCCGAACCTGTAGGGTCTACACACTTAAGGTTCGGTGACGCTAGGGTTGTAGAGATATTAGTATGCAGTAACCCGAAAGTTGTTCGGAGTCCCGGATGAGATCCTGGACGTCATGAGGAGTTCTGGAATGGTCCGGAGGTAAAGATTTATATATGGAAAATCAAGTTTTGGCCATCGGAAAGGTTTCGGGGGTTACCAGTATTGTACCGGGACCACCGGAAGGGTCCCGGGGGTCCACCGGGTGGGGCCACCTATCCCGGAGGGCCCCATGGGCTGAATTGGGTGAGGAACCAGCCCCTAGTGGGCTGGTGCGCCCCCCCTTGGGCCTGCCCTGCGCCTAGGGTTGGGAAACCCTAGGGGCGGGGGCGCCCCCCACTTGGCTTGGGGGGAAGCCACCCTTGGCCGCCGCCCCCTTGGAGATCCATCTCCCTAGGGCCGGCGCCCCCCCAAGGCCCCTATATAAAAAGGGGGTGAGGGAAGGCAGCCGCACCCTTGCTCTTGGCGCCTCCCTCTCCTTCCGTAACACCTCTCCTCCCGCTTGCGCTTGGCGAAACCCTCCCGGGATCCTGCTGCATCCACCACCACGCCGTCGTGCTGCTGGATCTTCATTAACCTCTCCTTCCCCCTTGCTGGATCAAGAAGAAGGAGACGTCTTCCTAATCGTACGTGTGTTGAACACGGAGGTGCCGTCCGTTCGGCACTAGGTCATTGGTGATTTGAATCACGTCGAGTACGACTCCATCAACCCCGTTCTCTTGAACGCTTCCGCACGCGATCTACAAGGGTATGTAGATGCACTCCTATCTCCCTCGTTGCTAGATGACTCCATAGATTGATCTTGGTGATGCGTAGAAAATTTTAAAATTCTGCTACATTCCCCAACAGTGGCATCATGAGCTAGGTCTATGCGTAGTTACTATGCACGAGTAGAACACAAAGCAGTTGTGGGCGTCGATATTGTCAATTTGCTTGCCGTTACTAGTCTTATCTTGATTCGGTGGCATCGTGGGATGAAGCGGCCCGGACCGACCTTACACGTACGCTTACGTGAGACTGGTTCCACCGACTGACATGCACTAGTTGCATAAGGTGGCTGGCGGGTGTCTGTCTCTCCTACTTTAGTCGGATCGGATTCGATGAACAGGGTCCTTATGAAGGGTAAATAGAAATTGGCAATTCACGTTGTGGTTTTGGCGTAGGTAAGAAACGTTCTTGCTAGAAACCTATAGTAGCATGTAAAAACTTGCAACAATAATTAGAGGACGTCTAACTTGTTTTTGCAGCAAGTGTTTTGTGATGTGATATGGCCAAAGGATGTGATGAATGATATATGTGATGTATGAGATGATCATGTTCATGTAATAGGAATCACGACTTGCATGTCGATGAGTATGACAACCGGCAGGAGCCATAGGAATTGTCTTTATTTATTTATGACCTGTGTGTCAACATAAACGTCATGTAATTACTTTACTTTACTGCTAAAGCGTTAGCCATAGTAGTAGAAGTAATAGATGACGAGACAACTTCAAGAAGACACGATGATGGAGATCATGATGATGGAGATCATGGTGTCATGCCGGTGACAACGATGATCATGGAGCCCCGAAGATGGAGATCAAAAGGAGCAAATGATATTGGCCATATCATGTCACTATTTGATTGCATGTGATGTTTATCATGTTTTACATCTTATTTGCTTAGAACGACGGTAGCTTAAATAAGATGATCCCTCGCAATAATTTCAAGAAAGTGTTCCCCTAACTGTGCACCGTTGCGAAGGTTCGTCGTTTCGAAGCACCACGTGATGATCGGGTGTGATAGATTCTAACGTTCGAATACAACGGGTGTAAGCCAGATTTACACACGCAATACACTTAGGTTGACTTGATGAGCCTAGCAAGTACAGACATGGCCTCGGAACACAGAAGACCGAAAGGTCGAGCATGAGTCGTATAGAAGATACGATCAACATGAAGATGTTCATCGCTGTTGACTAGTCCGTCTCACGTGATGATCAGACACGGCCTAGTTAACTCGGATCATGCTTCACTTAGATGACTGGAGGGATGTGAGGGAGTCCTGGATTAGTGGGTGTTCGGGTAGACGGACTATACCTTCAGCCGGACTCCAGGACTATGAAGATACAAGATTGAAGACTTCGTCCCGTGTCCGGATAGGACTTTCCTTGGCGTGGAAGGCAAGCTTGGCGATGCGGATATTCAAGATCTCCTACCGTTGTAACCGACTTTGTGTAACCCTAACCCTCTCCGGTGTCTATATAAACCGGGGGATTTTAGTCCTTAGGAGAACTTCATCACACAACAATCATACCACAGGCTAGCTTCTGGGGTTTAGCCTCCTTGATCTCGTGGTAGATCTACTCTTGTACTACCCATATCATCAATATTAATCAAGCAGGACGTAGGGTTTTACCTCCATCAAGAGGGCCCGAACCTGGGTAAAACATTGTGTCCCTTGTCTCCTGTTACCATCCGCCTAGATGCACAGTTCGGGACTCCCTACCCGAGATCCGCCGGTTTTGACACCGACATTGGTGCTTTCATTGAGAGTTCCTCTGTGTCGTCGCTTTTAGGCCCGATGGCTCCTTCGATCATCAACAACGATGCAGTCCAGGGTTAAACTTTTCTTCCCGGACAAATCTTCGTCTTCGGCGGCTTCGCACTGCGGGCCAATTCGCTTGGCCACCTTGAGCAGATCGAAAGCTACGCCCCTGGCCATCAGGTCAGGTTTGGAAGCCTAAACTACACGGCTGACATCCGCGGGGACTTGATCTTCGACGGATTCGAGCCACAGCCAAGCGCGCCGCACTGTCTCGATGGGCATGATATAGTTCTGCCGCCGAACAACGCCTTGGAGGCCGCACGCGCATCGGTTCCGACCATTGATTCGGAGCCTGCTGCGCCGATCGAGGATCAACGGTTAGACGCTGCCTCAGGGGCTGCGATCTCAGAGGCTATCGAGCCGAACTCCCACCCCACACTCCGCATGGCCCGTGACTCCGAGGAGCCGGATTCCTCTCCGAACTCCGAGCCCCCCGCACCCCTGCCAATCGAATCCGATTGGGTGCCGATAATGGAGTTCACCGCCGCGGACATATTTCAG